TGTTCCTTAGAAAAGGTGGCGTCTGTTAGGATTCATCTGTTGAATTTACCCAAAGTGGTGAAGGGTATCATATAGTTGGCCCCGACTTTACTACTTTCCTTACTGGTTTTTTTAATTTAATTTATTATATTTTAAATTTATTTATTTATTTATCATTCCATATAATAATCTGCCCGTACATAACGCAATATTTTACTTAGAACGTCATTAACAACAATTTGATTAGTTTGACTTAAAGCTGGCTGGAGAACGGTGAAAATGCTACGCCAATTGGCATTTAGTAAAGCATGTGCACTATCCTCCAGACCTTTATCACCATTGAATAGATTATCCAAATGAAATTGCATGCCATCATTATCTTCCCACACCAGATGAAGTTTTTCCACATCGGCGAAAATGTAGTCGCCATTTTCACGTAATTTGAGCTTGAAGTTAAGTGTAAATTTGGCGTTTTCTAAAATAAATTAAAAATCATATTAACAATTTAATTACAAGGATATAATCGTATTGTGTATCCGTTCCACTGTGAAACAAATCGAAATATATAGAGAGTTCCACCGATTTATTTCGATTTGAAATTTTATTTCAAATATCAAGTTTACTTACGAAACATCATTAGAGCCTTTCCCTGACCGCTTAAGGGCAAACTCAGAATATTACCATTCATTTTATAATCTCCCGTCAATTTGACGGAGGGTACTGTCACTTTAAATTTAAAATCCAAATTGTTGCCATCGGATCTAATAAAATTGAAATTTGTTATTATTTACATTATTCAATACATACATATATAATTATTTCAATTGATTGTTTGTTTGTTACCCTGCATCATCGAATATTGTTGTAGCTAAACCGGCCAATACCGCATCGGTCAATTCCATGTCTAGCGAAACTGGTCCACCTTGAGCACCTTGTGTTATTCTGGCACGTTTCACATGAAGTGGATCCAATGAACCGATTGATTTAAGACCGGGAACACCTATTAAATAAATAAATGTAAGTTCGATTTCGGATACTGTAGGTGTTTGAATATTTGAGGTTAACATGAATGTCTACAAGAAAAACAATAATTCTTTTGACGACAGCACATATTATGTAAATAAACACTTTCCAAAAATCAAGACTTTCCGAAATATGTGTCTCTAAGCAGTCTCTCCTTTAACGGGTTTTAAAGCGGATCATTGAAATATGGATTTTGATCCTTGCCAAAATTTGTTCACATAGTATTTCCATTTTAGACTCACATATATGAGCATTGATATAAAATAATCTTTTCGGGATGCCGATATTTAGGTAGGTACTTGAGAGGTTAAAACTACATGTTCCATGTTTTGACATGTCCTAAATATAAGGGTCTCGCACTTGTAAATGCATTTTGAAGATATAAGCCACATTTCCGAGTCTGTAATTTGGGATTTGCTGTCCTTAGAGTGTATATATATTAGGTTGAGGAAGAAGAAATCCATTAGGCCAGTCGTCGAAAATGTAGATTAAATCGGAAAAATGATCAAAGTTAACCGGCATGTTAACAGTCGTAACATCACCCAGGAGCTAAAAATCGATCATAACACTGTTTTAAACTGGATTGAAAAAGAAGCTCGATGTTTGGGTGCCACACAAATTAACAGAAAAAATAGGATGGATCGAATTCCCATCTGTTTTAAACCATTTACACACAGCTGGCTTCAAAAAGAAGCTCGATCTTTGGGTGCCACACCAATTAACAGAAAAAAGGATGAATCAATTTCCATCTGCGAAGCCTTGGCCAAGCGGAATGTGATGGACCCATTTCTTAAACGGATGGTGACTGGAGATGACAAATGGATCACATACGATAGCCCTGTGCGAAAACGTTTGTGGTCAAAGATCGGTGAAGAACCTCAAAAGTTGGCCAAACCAGTACTAACGACCAGGAAGGTTCTGCTATGCATTTGCTGAGACTGGAAGCGGATTATTTATTATGAGTTGCTTCCATATGATCAAACGCTAAATTCTGATCTCTACTGTCAACAACTGGACCGTTTGAAGATAGCAGTTGACCAAAGACGGACTGAATAGGCCAACAGGAGAGGTGTCGCGTTCCACCAGGTCAACGCTAGGCCACACACATCTACAATGACTCGCCAGAAACTTCGGGAGCTTGGTTGGGAAGTTTTAATACATCCGCCATACAGTCCGGGCTTGGCACCAAACGATTACCATTTTTTTCTTGCGCTGCACTCTTTAATAATAAACCAGTAAGGAAAGTAGTAGTGGGACAGGGCCGACTATATGATACCCTTCACCACTTTGGGCATATTCAACTGATGAATCCAATACAATGAGGAGTTTGGTGCAACTATATCTAAAACTGATCCGATTTCAATAAGACTTGCCAGATATTAATATATACACACATCATGCTAGACTTTTTAGTACGCTATGCCAAATTTCGAGCAAATCGAAAGTTATATAGGGACTTTGGTCCCCATTTACATTAAATCGGACGAAAATATATGGGAGCTATATCTAAATCAAAACCGATATTCAGAAAATTTAACACACATCATTCTAGACCTAATAAATTGCGCTGTGCCAAATTTCGTGCAAATCGAAAGATATATAGGGACCTTGGTGCACCATTTACCTTAAATCGGACGAAAACATATATGGGAGCTATATCTAAATCTGAACCGATTTTCAGGAAACTTAATACACATCATTCTAGTCCCAATTCAGTACACCATGCCAAATTATGTGAAAATCGAAAGATATATAGGGACCTTGGTGCACCATTTACATAAAATCGGACGAAAATATATATGGGAGCTATATCTAAATCTGGACCGATTTTCAGGAAACTTAACACACATCATTCTTGACCTAATTAATTACGCTGTGCCAAATTTCGTGCAAATCGAAAGATATATAGGGACCTTAGTGCACCATTTACCTTAAATCGGACGAAAATATATATGGGAGCTATATCTAAATCTGAACCGATTTTCAGGAAACTTAATACACATCATTCTAGACCTAATTAATTACCCTGTGCCAAATATATAGGGACTTTGGTGCATCATTTACCATAAAATCGATGCAGGTTGGGACGATAATATATGGGAGCTATATCTAAATTTGAACCGATTTTCAGGAAATTTAACACTCATCATTCTAGACCTATTTTATTACGCTGTGCCAAATTTCGTGTAAATCGAAAGATATATAGGGACTTTGGTACACCATTTACCTTAAATCGGACGAAAATATATATGGGAGCTATATCTAAATCTGAACCGATTTTTCCCAATTTCAATAGGGTTCGTCCTTGGGCCAAATAAGTGACCTGTGCCAAATTTCATGCAATTCGGATCATAAATGCGACTGTACTTTGTTTACAATTTAACATGGAAAGTGATTCTATGCATACAAAAGGAACCATGTGTCTATCTCTTTTCTTTTTGCCTGTTACAAACATATGCACGACTACATAATACCCTGTACCACGGACAGTGTGCATAAATCGTCTTCAGAGAGAGTGATTCTTTGGTATATTGGTTCCAAATCGGACATTCCGAAGCATGTTAAATAAAATTCCTATTCCGGGATAAAATCCTCTCAGAAAAATTTAAATATGGTGCTGTGCTTTGATAAAAATATTTTTAATTCGACGTTTAGGTTTCAGCCCAACTTTTGGTATATTGGTTCCTACAAAGCCACATTTTTCACCGAAGTGGCTATATGTTGGTATTCCGGGCTCATGGTGCCTAAAAAATATTTTTATAAAACGACGATTTTGTTTTTATCTCCAAAAAATTCATAAGATTTTTGATAGGATCCTCAATTACATGGCATCAATATTCGTATGTTTTTATTGTTTTTCCACTTTTATCCGATTCTTGCACAGAAAACCTTATATCTGCCAACACGAATAATTTGTTTACATTACGAAGAACTCTGCTAAATATAACTTTTATCCTCTAAAATGCATATTGGTTGAAGAAAAGAATGACAAAACGCCACACAAGGACTTTTAATTTTTAAGATTATTACAAAAATGTCCTGTCTTTTTTCTATTACTTTGAAAAAAATATTTTTTGTAAATTTAGCAACTCACCATTTTTCCATTCTTTAAATATTTTTTCGATATTTTTACCCCAACATTTACCGAATCCATTATCGGAACGCTTACAGATTTCCAGAAATGAAGCTGGAAGGCAATAAAAGTTATTTTTTAATACAGTCTTCATTTTTTATATTTACGTTTTTCCTGCAGTACTTTGGCTCCCTTCACTTCCATTTTTACAGCCAATATGAGGGTGGCCACAAAACACAATCGTATTGACAATTTCATATTTATTTGTAGAAAAGTTGCTTAAATTGTTTAAACCACTTGGATGTGTACTTCTCCTAAGACTGACAAGAATTTGGCCGCAAATAAACATTTATAAATTAAAACATTTTAAAAGAAAAAAAAAAATACAAATTACGAGTTTTTAATATATTTGTTATTTAATTGTATATTAATTCGAAACTGGTTTCCTATAATTGCGACGGAGTGGTATATAAAATCTTTGTTTACTAGATTTATAATTTAAAACAAACACGTTTAAGAGGTCCATTGAACCAATGGCACCATGCTACGAAATATAGATCGAAATTATATGGCGTGGTAAAAATAACTTCTAGTCAGAATATCCCTAACAGAAAACTAAGTGAATCTTCAGTAAGATTTGTTCTGAGATCCGAAACTTTATTCATTAAAAACTAGGATTTTGCTAGATTCTCCTCAAATAACAATGTATTTCGATAAGATTTTTGTGTTTAGGTATATATAAGTTAAAGCTCTCAGAAAATGTTAAGTCAAAGCAGCATTTCCCCGATAAACCTTTAAATTATTTGCACTTTTTTCATTTATTCGAATATTTAAACCGAAATTCTGGCCACAAAAATAGATTAAACTCTTCATACTTTTTTTATTAAAATACATTTTTGTAATAAATATTTTATACCATTTATTTTTATTCCAACAAATATTTAGACGGTACATAGGCAAATATTTTCGTTACAATATCTTTGACAAGTATTTGATTCGTTTGAGTTAAGGCTGGCTGTAGAACATCAAAAATGGTACGCGAATTTGCATTTAACAATGCATGAGCACCATCCTCCAGAGACTTATCACCATTAAAGAGATTATCAAATTGAAAGTGAATGTCACCATTATCGATCCAGTCCAAATGGAATTTATCCACTTCGGCAAATTCATAACCATCACGTTCACGCAATTTCATTTGCATGTGAAGCAAAAGAACAGCTTTTTCTAAAAACAAAAAACACATAAAAGAGGAATAATAAAAAAATTAACACAAAAGATCACATAGTATATAAATCGTATATAAATTACAATGTGCAACAAGATTTTGGGGCTTGAAAATACATTAAGAGGATGAAAGCCCATTGGTGAGTACATTAAGAATCCAGAACAAATTCTCCATAGATCAAGTTTTTGAATTATGACGTGGTGGGCTTTGGGCGTGAAACCAATCTCTGTTTGTGGCAACTGTCGGTTATTTTTGAGATTGTATGTCTTCCGTCGAATCGAATAAGGATTCTTTTGGTTACACATATCATCTTTCTATTTCGAACAAAAATTTCGCTTATAGGATTTTAGATAGGGTCCCCAAAGACAAGAAAGAATATTACTCAATTGGCTTTTACCACATTCACAAGGTCCATGCTCATGAATCCTTTAAATCCTAAGCGTATTTAAAGCGAATTCGTTTCAGAAATGTCAATTTACAAATGTCCAAAATGTCTTCCTTATAGTGGAGCTTGTACCTTAAAATGCTTTAATCAAATTACTACCGCAAAAATTACTGGACCTCTTACGGATGTTATGCCAAATCAGGAACCTATATTGAACCAATAAGGAAAGTAGTAAAGTCGGACGGGGCCGACTATATGATACCCTTCACGAAACCTAACAGACATCGCATTTTTAAACGACCAGTAAAATGAAATTGGATTCATGAACATGTCATTCTGCAACCGATACTAAATTTTTCATTTGGTCAGATATAGAAGCTATATCTAAATCTGAACCGATTTCAGGAAACTTAACACTCATTATTCAAGACCTAATTCATTATGCTGTGCCAAATTTCGTGCAAATCGAAAGGTATATAGGGACTTCGGTGCACCATTTACATATAATAGGACGAAAATATATATGGGAGCTATATCTAAATCTGAACCGATTTTCAGGAAACTTAAATTTCGTGCAAATCGAAAGATTTATAGGGACTTGGCACACATTATTATAGACGCAATTCAGTACGCTATGCCAAATTTCGTGCAAATCGAATGATTTAGTGTACCAATTACCTTAAATCGGATGAAAATATATATGGGAGCTATATCTAAATCTAAACCGATTTTCAGGAAACTTTGCACACATCATTCCAGACCTTAGTTATTACACTGTGCCAAATTTCGTGCAAATCGATAGATATGTAAGAACTTTGGTATACCATTTACCTTAAATAGGACGAAAAAAATAAAAATAAATAAAATAAATAAATAAAAATAATGTCATCATATTTATTTTTTAATTTTATACAAGAAAATTCAGGAAAAAATGTTGGTGTTATTCTGCTATTTTACCCGTATTTCGCCGAAAAATTGACAAATATAATAATAATCACTTTTTGTGTATAAGTATAAGCCTTGCGGATTATATCAAGACCCTTCCGATAAATCTTAGAATTCTATAAATAGGAATAAATCTTAAAACAAAATAATATTATGAAATATACATTTTAAATTGCGTGTAAATCGCGTAATTCTCAAAATCATTTGATGCGCATGCGGTTTCCAGGAAGTGCAGAAGTTTATCTTCCAATCCATATATATTTTGCAAAATTTCATTTGACGGCTAAGATGTGCCACACGTTACATTGAAGTACCCAAAAAATCGTAAAACGCGAATAATTTCCGAAAACTCCATATGCCATTAACGCGCATCCGATTTCGGTGTGCACCCTAAAAAAATACATCGATCTACACCATTTCAATTTTTCCATTAAGAACCATGGATGTGCCAGAATAAGCATGCCTGTTTTGATAATGATTGGTCATCTCTATTTAGCGGAAGTTTTTAAAGTTCTCTAACTTTTGTGTGAAAATTGACAAAATTTGTATTCTATAGCGTATATATTTAGAAATTTGAAGGACATAGACCTTCGAGAAGTTGATAGTATATCCAAGAGCTGTGCATACTTTAAATTGATACAAAATATATATCAAATTACGCAGATTCGCGACTACAATAATCTTAAAATATTTTTATAAAGGTGCTTACGTATTCATATATTATTTAGTAAAATTCAAAAAACACTCAAAATTGATCGCTTTGAAATGTTCCATGGGGCATCATTTAAAGGACAATGCAGTTAAAATGTTGAGGTGATGATCAGATAATATTTTTTCGGATGAAGTGGACTTAATTATTTATACTTTTCGTGTCGAAAGCCGAACATCAGAACACAACCCACGGTGAAGGAAATCTGGACAAATAATTAGAGGAACTGTACTGATTATAAGTAACATTTGCTGACATTAAAGTCAAAACTTGCAAATACCGAAATAAAGTTTGGAGGTCAATATCATGAACAGTTTGCAACGACAGATCAGTCGTCATCAAGGGCTAAACCTCCGCTTCAAAATTGGCAATATTGCCCATATACATTTTTATTTGAATTTTAAATGGGTATGATTGACGACAAGATTGATGACAATAGGTATACAGTCATCAATGACTGTGCAAACGACAGGGTAGCGAATCTGTCGTTAACGAAAAGGGGGAGTTTAGTCGCTGAAGTTGACGTCAACGACAATATCGCTTACCCTGTCGCTCAAGTTGTCTTGCACGAATACTGTGACACTTGTGTGAAAATTTCGTCAACGATTTCACGTTGTTGTCTGCAAAGTGTCTTCAAGGAATTGCCATTGTCTTACACGATTAGTTAATGTTGTCTGCAAGACACTTTCTACTGGGAGGTTAAAAGTCTCAGTCCGTGTTACAGATATATACCCTCAGCCTGTGATATATGTGGTATAAACATATTCTGAGGTCACAGAATCATGATAATCAAAATGAGATCAGATGGGACTCATCTTAGGAGTTGATAAATATATGTTTAACTCAAATCGGACACTCCTTTAGCTTTAAAATGGACATACATGTTTAAAAATGTTAATATTTATTGGGGAGGTAACAGACACAGTTCACCAATGGATCGCATGTTCGGAATTTACCAAGGTTTGTGAAAGGTGTTACAATGTACAAAATTTGGATTAAATCGGTCCATTGATATTTGATTTAAAAATTATTGACACTTTGTGGAGAGCCAACGAGATGGCATGAACCGATTGGTCGGACACTCCTTTAGCTTTACATTGGACTTATATATTTTGCAGATTTTGATATTTGTTGGGGAGTTAACAAAAGACGTGGATCAATTGATCTCTTCTTCGGACTTTATCTTGGTTTGCTAAATGTGTTACGATGTGCAAAGTTTGAATTAAATCAGCCGATTGATATTTGATTGATCTTATTGTGGAAGAGGTACCAGATGGGGTGAAATTTTCCTAATTTTCTTCCCTTGTGAGGAAGGAACAAGACGGAGCGGGTCGTTATATGTGATTATTTGGTTCAAATCTAATCATTGGTTCACATTATATTGTAAAATTTCTTTTCATCAAAATTATGACAATTTTATGAGGATAATACCCGAAGTAGTGCACCATATATACGGATATTACCTTCGGGATTTGTCGAGTATCACAGATTTGGTCTAAGGAATTTGTTGAGTCTAAAATCAGTACTTCGAGGAGACATATTTTGTCGTAGCATAGAGTATTTACTCTAATTAGCTAGAAAATTGATTGTATAAAAATTCTGCAGCCTTCAAGAACTCGATATGCCAAATTACAGCCCTATCGGTTGGAAAATGCGATCAGAACCGTTGAACGTGGGTCGATATATGTTTTTTCAATACCGAATATCCTATGAGTACTTAAAATATATATGAAAATTTTAAAACCTCGACTTTAAATTTTGCGAATTCTATCGTAATTTTTGCCGGACGGAAGGCAAACCTATATAGAATTTTATTGAGATCATGAAAATACAAATTTTATGGGGTCTTTCATGGGCTGTTACAAACGGGCGACTATGAAAATTCAAATTTTATTAATTTTTTTGCGTCATTTCAAAATCGTCCTATATTTTCATTTGCGTCTCCATTAAATTTTAAACCAACCGAGATTTACTTACCAAATGTCATTAGGGTTTTACCCTGACTGTTCAAAGCTAAACTCAAAATATTACCCTTCAAGGTATAATCACCGGTCAGCTTAAATGAGGGTACTGTTATTTTCAATTTTATGTCCATATTTTTGCCATTCGATCTAAAAGAATTGTTAATATTCGGTTATTTGTTTATGATATTTTGTTTGGTTTTGCCAAAATCATGACTGCTCACTCACCCAACATCTTCAATTATGGTTCCACCTATACCGGTTAGAGCAGCATTTAACAATTCCATGTTTATTGAAATGGGACCGGCTTGATTTCCTTGCCGAATTGTGACACGTTTAAAATTAAGGGGATCCAGCGAGCGGATTGATTTAAGACCAGGAACGCCTTTAAATGGAAATAAAATGAAAATATTGTTTGGAACAATTCGGTAATTTTTGATAAAATGATGAGATTTTTTTTTCCGAAAATAAACAATACATTAAAACATTGTTATTTTTCAGCCACAATTATTTTTCTAGGGTATTTGGTTTATTGCCCCTCGTTTTACACTTGTCTTTAATTCGACAAAATTGAATCATTTCTGTGGGATTTTGAAAATCTAAACAATGTCTTACCTGATTTCCATTCATGAAATGCAGTTTCAAGATTCTGGGCAAAACATTTACCAAAAGCAGGATCGGAACGTTTGCAAATCGTTAGAAATTGTGCTATAATTTAATGATAAAATATATAATATTTTATTTCAAATACAAAATAAATATCTTTTAACACCTACGGTCTTCGGAGAGTAACTTAGCACCCGTTGTCAGAGTAAAATACGACCATGTAAGGGCAACGAAGTAAATGAATTTTATTATAAATTTCATGACGTTCAATTTTTTCCAAAATTAAAATATTTAAAAAATGTTTAACAAAAAAATAATCCGATGCGATGTTTAATGTCTTCTAGACTATTGAGACCACTGCAGTTGATGAGCATTTATAAATAACCTATTTTTAAAACTAGATAAAAATGAAGCAAAACTTGAATGCACACACAGTCGCACATATGTTTCAAAGTAGTGTTTAGATGAAAACTGGTTGCCATATGCCCCGGGATGATTTGGAATATTGTATTAGTAGACAAGAAGTCTCAGCAGTTTTTTTATAGTGTATTAATATTTGCATTAATTTCTTATCAAATAAATATTTGGGAGATGAAATGAAAGTACAGTGGTGGTAATATGTATAGAGTTTTTTTGATATATTTATCTTGTTATTTTTTTCAAATCGGTACATATGGTTATATTGTGTACTTATTTTTTAAGATATTTTTATTATCACAGTTCAAATATAAATAGGAGGGAAAAATGGACCATAGGTATTCGCAGAAGAATGTTTTAGGTTCCTAAATTTTAGGATCGGATTTTCATATAGTACACCCGGTTTCGGAACCAGTTTTATAATGAATGGATTCTAATGTGAACGTTAAAAACATTGTTATTACTGCGCTATAACAATAGCACTGTTTGAAGTAAATCTTAAAGACGAATCAGTACTTATTAATGTACAATGTATTCGAAATTTATTAGTGTTTGTAAATATAAGGGTTCCTGAACAAGTATTGGGTGAATGTGGGAAAAGGTTGGTAAAAAATCATATTAAGGCATTTAGTTTGTGGTTCTTGAAAATAAGGACTCGAGATAGAAGGAGAAGCCATTACGACAGAACTCAAAAATTTTACCCATGATGTATTTGTCCTCCTGATTTCTTTATATAGTCGCCAAAAAAATTCTTCAAAATTTATTTATTTCATTTTTCAAAAAAATTTCTAAAATTTTGCATTTCAAGCTATTGGAGAATTATATACCTGCTCGTAGATAAAAATCAAAACGTCCCTAGATTTCCACAGTGTAAGTCCATGTTTTGGTATAGCCTCCATGAAAGGGTTCAATATTTTTAAGGTTTTTGCCGCGTTTTCCAGGTGTAATTTGGCATTAACAAACCGCAGTTATGTCTGAAGATTGGCGTGTATCGTGTTTACAAATTATATTGAACAGACGGACTGTCACATATGACTAGTTCGACTCTGCTAGTCGAAATATGATGACCTTTATACTTATATGGGAGTCTAAGATAATTATTTGGCGGCGTTAAAAACTCTTGGGGCCACCCAAAGCTACAATACCCTGACAACATTTTTCTAAAAATCCCTGCCAGTTTATGGATCATAGAAAAATATTTTTTAAAAATCCACGCTTGTTACCGGAACCTTAAATATTTTTTAATACTCGTCTGTTTATGGTTCTTTGACAAAAAAATAAAATATTTATAAAAAATCCAAAATTTATACTGATGAAAATCTTCTGAAAAAACCTGTAGGCTTATTCTGTAACTTGTTAACAACATTCGACATTGTTTATTTTACAACAATTTCATTTGTTTGTTTTGTTGTTTTTACAATAACAAAAGAAAACCAGTAAGGAAAGTGGTAAAGTCGGACGGGGCCGACTATATGATACCCTTCACCACTTTGGGTATATTCAACAGATGAATCATAACAGACGTCACATTTTTAAAGGACCAGTAAAATGAAATTGGAACCGTAAACATGTCATTCTGCAACCTACACTAAATGTTTCACTTGCTCACCTATAGAGTTGCTCCTTACAACGGGACAAAATTATGTAAATCTATTTAAAAAAATATATAAATCGAACACCCGTTGGTTATTTCGATAAATATCTGATAAATATGAGGAGTTTGGTGCACCTATATATAAATCTGAACAGACTTCAACGAGACTTGACAGATTCATTTATATTAACTACAGCTCATTTAACAAAAGTGTGTGGCAATCGGACGAACATTGGGTCTTTAGAGCAAAATTTACATAAAATCGGATGAAAAAAAATATGGGAGCTATATCTAAAACTGAACCTATATTTACGAAACTTACCTCACATCATTCTAGACTTAATTCAGTACGTCATGCTCAATATTGTGCAAATCGGTACAAATTGGCACACAATTTACCTTAAATCGGACGAAAACATTTTCATTACATATGAGAGCTATATCTAAATCTGAACCGATTTTCAGAGAAATTAACACACATCATTCTAGACCTAATTCATTACGCTGTGCCAAATTTCATGCAAATCGAAAGATATGTAGGGACTTTGGTTCACCATTTACACAAAATCTGACAAAAATATATATGGGAGCTATACCTAAATCTGAACCGATTTTCAGGAAATTTGTCACACACAATTTTAGACCTAATTCAGTACACTATACCAAATTTCGTGCAAATCGAAATATATATAGGGACTTTGGGGCACCATTTACATTAAATCGGACGAAAATATATATGGGAGCCATATCTAAATCTGAACCGATTTTTCCCAATTTCAATAGGGTTCGTCCTTGGGCCAAATGAGTGAGCTGTGCCAAATTTAATCCACATCGGATCATAAATGCGACCTGCACTTTGTTTACAATTTAACATGGACAGACAGACGGACGGACGGACATGCATAAATCGACTTAGGAAGTGATTCTGTGCATATTCTCGAAAGGAACCATGTGTCTATCTCTTTTCTTTTTGCCTATTACAAACATATGCACAAAGACATAATACCCTGTACCACAGTGTGGTGAAGGGTATAAAAAAATGGCCTTGGGAAAAGACTCTTTAAAAAATAGGCCTGGTTGGATGGTCCTGAAAAAAAAAAATAAAATATCGACGCCTTGTTGAATGATCCTCTAAAAAAATTTCCTTCAAATATCCACACCTGGTTGGTTGGCTATTGAACAATTTTTATACCCTACACAACTATGTTGTCAGGGTATTATAGCTTTGTGCAGCCCCAAGAGTTTGTAACGCCGCGAAATGTTGGTCCTAGACCCACCTTTAAGTATACCGATCGTCAAATTTCGACTAGCTGAGTCGATCTAGACATGTGTGTCCGTCCGTCTGTCCATTATAATTTGTAAACCGATACAGGCCACAGTTATGGACCAGTCTTTACGAAATTTTGCATGTAGGATGGGTTCTGGCCAATGAAGACCCCTATTGTTTTTGGTAAAGGTCGGTTAATATTTAGGGGATGAAATGGACCAAAAACTTAATTTTTGTCTGATTTTCTGGTCGCTCTAGAGGCCGCAATTATGGCCCGAACATCGCGAATTTTTACATGGAGAAGGGGATTTGGCCAAAGAATAAGCATGCCTGTTTGTATAAAGATCGGTAAATATTTAGCGGGTGAAATGGACCCTGAATTTTATGTGAAAAATTACAAAATTTGTGTTCTATAGCGTATATATTTACCCCTCAATTGCATAGACCCAAGAAGTTGAGCGGTTGACCTTTAAATTGATACCAATTATATTGTCGTATGTTCTCGGATGTGGGAGTTACACTTAAATATTTGCAGGTGTCTACGTATTTAGATATTATGTATTAACCCATTACCACACCAGAGAGTCCGCCCTCTGGCTGATCGCTTTGAAATTTCCATGAGGTTCCAGTTATGGTCAAGGACAATGCCTATATTTTCTGTCATGATCAGATAATAATTTTGGGATGAAGTGGACCAAAAACTTAATTAGTTGTGTTTTCGACTCGATCCATAGGCCAAAATTAATAGCCGAACATCAAAACACAACCCACGGGGAATGGAATATGGGCAAGTACCGAATATTAGAAATATTCGGAATATATGTCATTGTAGGGAAGAGGTTCTGTTGACCTCTAATCGGGCAATAGGTTGCAACTGTTACGAAATATTGCCCAGGCTCGGAATAAAAAGTTAAAGCCACGTGGTAGTTGTGTAGGGTATCGTATGGTCGGCCCCGTCCGACTATACTGCTGCACTCACTCGTTTTAAATATCTACGCCTTGTTAGACTGGAATTCTGGAAACAAATATTCTTTAAAATATTAGGGTCCTGGGAAAAATATTCCTTAAAAATCTATGCCTCGTTGGAAGGGGCCTTGAGAAATAATCCTGTAGAAAATTCACGCGTTGTTGGTTGGTCCTTGAAAAATATTTTTTAAAAAATTCTTGAAAAATATTTTAAAAACATATCTTTATAAAGTGTAAAAATATTGAAAATTCTATAGAGTCACTATTTCTGGTATCTCCCACAGATGGTAACCTTTTTTTCGAAAACCGGAATAGTATACAAAGATCAGGATAAGTGTATGGACTGAGGGTATATATCTATCGGCAACACTGACTGACTTGGGAATTTAGATACAGATTTAGAATTTGGCAGTGTATCGAACATTTGAAGAAGGTGTATCAATTTAAATATAGCTCCCATGTATATTTTTCGATTTCCTGTAAGTGGTGATCTAAGCGTATACATTTTCAGAGAGTAGATACTAAATTGAAAGTATATCTCCCCTATAAATATAAGATCTAAACGTAGTCTAATACAAAAATATAGTTTTCAGAATATTAAGAGAAGACCATCGCGTTATCGCTTGTAGTAAGACGACTATAAGGAACCCTTTAATATATCTCGAATATATTATCTATCACAATAAAATATGAAAATATTGTAATTGTTTTTTTTTTATTTTCAGATTCGTAACATTGTAACAATATGAGGTAAGTCTATATTTTACCAATACACACGCATACATTTAAATATTTACCTTTTGGCGCCCAATAAAACAATTAGTAAATCCCATTATGTTTTTTCGGAATGAGATGATGTTATGTTTTTTCAAAAACTATTTTCTTTTCATAAAGTTCATTTTTTTCTTTTTATTTAATTTATCACTTATCTCATACTTCTGCTATACATTCTTAGGTGTTTCATTTTATTCTATTTTTTTTTTTCAAAATTTAATATTAAATATTTTGTGTGTAAGA